TGCTGGCCGTGCCGCAGGCATGTGTTTAATGGGCTTTGCCTGATTTGTGCTGATTTCTGTGTCCCGTGTTTAAGAGCTCTCCTGTTTCACATACTATTCATTTGTGAGTTCTGGCCTCAGTCGAGGCCAGTGGCTTTTTTAATTCCATCGATTCTGCATCTTTGGATTGTATTCCGTCGCAGAGTGATTTTGTAGTTTACCTCTCAGTGGGAAATGCAGTTTCCGCACTCCCAAGCCCTTGGAGGGTATCTCACTAAGCTGCCATAACCTGCACCCTCACAAACAACCCCAGGTGCCTGAATATTATTTTAAGAATTATTTCTTTAGGGGAAATTTTAGAAGTGGAGTCATTGGGTTGAAGAACAGGAACTTGGCGGGGGGGGGGGGTGTTCTCATCCATTATAAATTGATCCCTATAGGAGTAACTCCTTCTGAAACTTCATGAGAGTGCTCATTTCATCAACTCTGGACAACACAATTTTCCTTTAAAGATTTAATTATTTATTAGAGAGGAGAGGCAGAGAGAGAGAGAGGTCTTCTATCCGCTGGTTCACTCCCCAGATGGCTGGAGCTGCGCCCATCCAAAGCCAGGAGCTTCTTCCAGGTCTCCCACATGGGTACAGGGACCCAAGAACTTGGGCCATCTTCTACCGCTTTCCCAGGTCATCGCAGAGAGCTGGATCAGAAGTGGAGCAACTGGGACTGGAACCGGCGCCAATATGGGATGCTGGCACTGCAGGTGGTGGCTTTACCTGCTAGGCCACAGCACCAGCCCCAGGAGAGCACATTTTTGAAAATACTAATTTGATAGGCAAAGGGGACATATATTTTAATTTGGACATCATTCATTTTATTTTAAAAATTTTTTTAGTTTTAAAATTAAATTAAAAAATATTTTGGGTGGGTCATGGAGGGCCAGTTTTCAGAGGCACTCGTAACTTTTTAATGGGCCTGACTAACGTAAGAGAAGATGTGTCTGTCAAAGGCTATGGCAATGGCTGCTTTGTACCTGCAGTGACTTGGAGTTACAGGCAATAGAGCAATGTGAACTTCATTCACACATTCACTCAACAATTAGCTACTGAACACCTTCTACTTTCAAGGGTCTGTGCTCTCTGACGTTTACATTCAGGGAGGTGAGATGGTCACAAAGCAAGACTATCAGCACACACAGGGCACTCTGCGTGAAAACACAGCCGGGGACGCACTTGCTGGAGGCCCAAGAGCTAGGCTGAGTCGATGGAATATTAGGGATTCAGGTGAACAACCATAAGCAGAGTCAGACAAAGGATTTGGTCAAAAGAAAAAATTAGAATTTGTAGAATTATACAGAGGGCAGACCAGAGCATCAAAATTAAAGATGAAATAGTGGGGCTGAGAAAAAAGGACAAATTTTTTTTTATTTTTTATAAAAATTTTATTTAATAAATGTAAATTTTGTAATTACAACTTTTGGATTATAGCGTTTCTTACCCCCATACCTGCCCTCCCACCCCAAACCATCCCACCTCCCACTCCCTCTCCCATCCCATTCTTCATTAGAGTTCATTTTTAATTATCTTTATATACAGAAGATCAACTCTACACTAAGTAAAGATTTTAACAGTTTGCACCCACACAGACATACAGTATAAAGCACTGTTTGAAGATTAGTTTTACCGTTGTCATAGTACAACACATTAAGGACAGAGATCCTACATGGGGACCAAGTGCACAGTGACTCCCGTTGTTGATTTAACAATTGGCACTCTTATTTATGACGTCAGTGATCACCCGAGGCTCTTGTCATGAGCTGCCAAGGCTCTTGAGTCTTGAGTCCACAAAGTCCGACCTTATTTAGACAAGGCCATAAGCAAAGTGGAAGTTCTCTCCTCCCTTCAGAGAAAAGTACCTCCTTCTTTGATGGCCCGTTCTTCCCGCTGGGATCTCACTCACAGAGATCTTTCATTTAGGTCATTTTGCCACAGTGTCTTGGCTTTCCATGCCTGAAATGCTCTCATGGGCTTTTTAGCCAGATCCTAATGCCTTAGGGGCTGATAAAAGGAGAAATTTTAAAGTGGCAGTAGGACCTCAGATAACTCCAGATTATTGCAACTCTGACCTGTTATCCTTGGCTCCTGCCCCTGGGGTTAAATTGGATTGATTCCTGGGAGTCATCCTGTACAGAGAGATGCACAGGCCAGAAACTTAGCCAACCTTTGATGATCCCTGATCCTTCCTCAATGCAGCTAACCAGTCCCCAGGTCTGACTGATCGACTCCCTAACGCTTCTCAAATCCCGGCTCTTTCTCCCAGTGCCACTGCTGTAGTCCCATCTCTTCCTTGAACTGGCTTTCACCCTCCTGTCCAGCCCTGCTCCCATCTGACCCAGTCTCCACCCTGCAGCCAGAAATTGACTGTGTTTATCCGTCATTTAGTTTCCCCAGCCAGCCCGAGCTCAAGGACTCTGGTCTTGCTTGTTATTATGTCCTTGACATCAAGCACAATATCTGGCGCCCAGTAGGTACTCACTAAGCGTTTATTCCCCCCATCTCTGTGTTCCTTGCTCTCCTTCCTCTCCCAGGTCTATGGGTCAAAGGCAGAGAGAGTAAGTAGTTCACAGCTCGCCTTGTGGGTCAAAATACAATTTTCTGTGTACAACAAAACCTCACGCCCTCATTAGCAGCTTCTTAACTGAACCCCAGGCCACCCTCTACTGTAAGACAGGGAACAGAGTACACGCAGTGTCAGACAAATCGCAACAGCTGATTGGGGCTAATGAATGAGCTGGAGAGTCTAGTACCTTGTCCGGTTAATAACGGTGACACACTGAAGTGCTTCCAGAAACCTTTAATGAGTGACTCAAAACACTGGAAGGCAAAGAGGAATGCATTGCCGGGGCCTCGGCTCACTAGGCTAATCCTCCACCTGCGGCGCCGGCACACCGGGTTCTAGTCCCGGTCGGGGCACCGGATTCTGTCCTGGTTGCCCCTCTTCCAGGCCAGCTCTCTGCTGTGGCCCGGGAAAGCAGTGGAGGATGGCCCAAGTGCTTGGGCCCTGCACCCCATGGGAGACCAGGATAAGTACCTGGCTCCTGCCTTCGGATAGGCGTGGTGCGCCGGCCACGGTGCGCCAGCTTTGGCGGCCATTGGAGGGTGACCTTTCTCTCTGTCTCTCTCTCACTGTCCACTCTGCTTGTCAAAAAAAAAAAAAAAAAAAAAGGAATGCTTTGGACAGGGAACCAGGCAGAGGCTCACGAAGCTCACATACAGGGCTGACCCAGAGCTCTCTTACAGGCCTCTCCTGCTTGCAGGTGGCGGTGGCTGGGCCCTCACTGAAATTAGGCTCAATATGTAGTTATTGAGCAACCACTGTAAACCTGACATTGCTTTTGGCTCTGAGGAATATAACTGCAAACAGTGCAGACAAAAACATCTCCTTTCCTGGAGCTTATTTTTGGTGGGGGTGGGGGTGCAGAGACAACACGCTAAATAAGTAAAATATCATTTTATCAGATGTCATAAGTGCTATGGAGAAAGGCACAAGAGAGCAAGGGGGGTAACAACACTGGGGGTGAGAGCCATGCTATTTTTCCAAGAGAGTTACACAGCCTCTCTGAGATGATTGTCTTGGTCTGAATATTTGTGTCTTCTCCAAACTTGTATATTGAGACCTATTCTGCAAATATGATGTTGGAAGGTGATTAGCTAACGAGGGCCTTTTTTATAACGGAGAACCCAAGGGTAACCCAAGGGCACTTAGCCCCGTGGTTAAGACATCGGTTAAGATTCTGGCATCCCATAATGAAGTGCCTGCATCCAATTCCCAGCTCCAGTCCCTGACTCCAACTTCTGTTTTCGTTCTGTTTTTTTTTTTTTTAATTTATTTATTTGACAATTTATTTATTTGAAAGGCAGATTTAGAGACAGAAGGAAACAGAGAGATCTCCCATCAGCTCGTACATATTGGTTGTCGTCCAGATTACAAAAATATGGACACCTGTGAAAACTTCAAACAATTGAGAAAAAGTGAAAAATAGGAAGTGAAAGTCCCTTCTGGTCTCACCTCACAGAGAAAGCAAATATAAACAGTCGGCGTGTAATCTTCCTGGGTTTTCAAAATGTGCAAACGCACACACACACATGCACACACACATTTTATCTTTGTGAGAAGTAAACATTCGGCTCATTTTCAAAGTGAAGCCTTTAGCTGAGAGTCGACAAGCAGTCGACTTGTCACAGTTTGCAGAACGGCCCGGGTCCACGCACCTGACAGTTCTTAGGCAAACAGGGTGTTAGTGGCCAAAACAGCTGAAGCGGGTGAGCCCCGCACTCACTCAGCCAATGGGGACCTGGAGGCCGGACCTGCGTGCTGGGGGAATAAATAGCTCGCTGCAAAGCCCCCGGGTCTGCAGGGCGCTTAGCGAAGTCTGGCTTGCCCGCTGCGCTGCGCTGCGCTTCTGGTCCGGGGCCATCCTTGGAGTGGACGGGTGAGGCTGTTTCTCACAGCCGTCTGCCTTTTTGTTTTAATTAACGAGGCACAGGCACCACCTCATCGTAACTCGGGTTTTCCGTCGTCGCCAGGCGTCGTGGCGACCCTGCCGTGTGGGCAGGGCTTTGCGGGGAACGGGAGCCCCCCGACCGCACACCTGCGATCCCTCCATTTTTAAAAGGAGAGGTGGGAGTCACAGGGGTCTGCGATCAGCCGGGCACCCACTCCCCGCCTGCCTCGCGGCCGTCTGCTACGTTCTCCAGACTGAACAGCTGCTGCCGCTCTGAGGAACTCGGAGCTGTAATGCCGCCGCCAGGAAACTAACGCCCGCAGAGCCTCCGCCAGCAGCCCCTCCGGGCAGCCGCGGCATGACGACACGGCGGGGCGGGGCGGGGCGGGGGCGGGGCGCCGACCGAGGGGCAGGGCTTCAGGGCGCGAGGCGCGCGGTGCGTGTGCGCTGGTAGGCTGGCCGCGGAGTGACGTGATTGGCGCCCGCCCCCCGTCTCCGCCCCGCCCCCGCCAGGCCCCGCCCCTTCGTCCCTCGCGGCCGCGGCCCCTCTAGGCGCCGGCGCAGCGATGGCGGAGGCGGTGGAGCGCACCGACGAGCTGGTCCGCGAGTATCTGCTCTTCCGCGGCTTTACGCACACCCTGCGGCAGCTGGACGCCGAGATCAAGGCGGACAAAGAGAAGGGGTTTCGGGTGAGGGGCCTGCGGGGGCGGCCCGAGGGAGCCCGGGAGCAGCCCGCTCCCCAGCCCCCACTGCCCTCAGGGGCGGGGGCGGCGCTGTCACCGGCGGCGTGGGGGCCGCGGAGATCGGCGCGCGCGGCCCTGGCCTGGCGGACGGGGAACCGAGGCCCTGACACGGGCGTGACTCGCCTGAAGTTGTCCAGCGAGTCGGCGGCTGTGGCCTGACCGCTGGTCCAGGGCTGGGTGTTGCTCCCCGGCCTCCTAGCAGGTGCTGGCCAGTCGATGGCTGGGGAGACCCATGTGGTTTCAGCAACCAGGGTTGGGTGGCTGGGAGGTTCTGGCGGCCGACGTATCTATCCCAGGGTTGTTTTCCCGAGGCAGTGGGAGCGCAGCAGGGGTGTGTGCAGCCCAGAACGTTAGCTGGGTTCAGACACCGGTGATGTCGGTCTCAAGTGGCCTTGTTAGCTCACTGGCAATATTGCAACTAAGCACTGGAGGAAGACCTCATTGCACGTGCTAAAACAAACTTTCGGGGCTCCGGTATGGATTTCCGTGGGGAAGTTCTTGGAATCCACGTGTGTGTGGTTTGTGTGTCGACTTCAGCGGGTGTTGGCAGGTGAATTGAGACAGTGAACTCCAGCAAGGGGCCTCCCTGGAGGGGAGTTGGGAAGTCGGGGTTCTTGTTTGGACGAAGTTAGAGGCTCCTGAAACAGGATTTCGCCTCTCTGGGCTCCCGTGCCCCAGTCTGTAATCTATGGGGACTAAAGTGTTGATAGCCAGAACCTTTTCAAATCACCTACTCGGGTATAACTGCTCCTCACAAGGAGGTGGCTCGTTTGGCTGATAGTCTGCGCAGCTATGAGGGCGCTGGTGGGTCGCTGATGACTGGCGGGGGTCCATCAGCGTGCCTCCCGTTGCCCCTTGGAGTCCTGGAACTGTGGAGCTAGGAGGAGGACCATCTCATGTGCTCTTACATGTTTATTATTTTCAATGTGAAGCAACCCAGGAAGCAGTTGAAGTGACAGTGCCAACTTAGTCATGTAAGTCAGAGGCAGATCCAGGACCTGGAGCCAAATCTCCTGCTTCTCTGGCCAAAGCCCATAACACCTGAAATTTCTGTGCCTGCCTAAGATTCGAGCCGTAACTTAAAAGGTGGTACAGTTATGTCTTAAAAACTTCATAGACTGCTAACTTAAAATTTGTATAAATTGTCAGATTTAAATGGCAAGTTAAAAACTTTTATTTTTTCTTTAGGAGAAGATGTATTTATTTGATAGGCAGGGTGACAGAGAAAGGGATCTTCCATCCTCTGACCTACCACATGGCTGCAACGGCCAGGGTTGGGTCAGGCCAAAATCGGGAGCCTGGAACTCCAGCCGGGGCCCCGGTGTGGGTGACAGGGGTCCGGGTATCTGAGCCATCCGCTGTTGCTTTCTTGGGCGTATTAGTGGAGAGCTGGATTGGAAGTGGAACAGCGTGCACTTGAAACGGTGCCTGGATATGGGACGTTGGATGTTAACCTGCTGCACCGCCCAGCTCCAGCCCCTAACTTAAAACTGCTCACATCCCGAAGCTATGGCAGTGGGGAAAAAGCTGTGCCCTGTGGAATGAGGGGGGCTTTGCCTCCTGTCCTCACCCTCCCCACCCCTCCGCTCTCACCAGGTGGACAAGATAGTGGACCAGCTGCAGCAGCTAATGCAGGTGTACGACCTGGCCGCCCTGCGGGATTACTGGAGCTACCTGGAGCGGCGGCTCTTCAGCCGCTTGGAGGACGTGTACAGACCCACCATCAACAAGCTCAAGACCAGCCTGTTCCGCTTCTATCTCGTCTACACAATCCAGGTGCTTGGTGCTCCAGGGGCTCTGCCGCCTTTGGCGGAGATAGGGCTTGGTCTTGACCCACAGATAGGGCTTGGTCTCGCCCCTGGGGAGGGCTGTGTGCCTTCCTGTGAAGGAGCGGGACAGTCACGTTATTTCGTGCTGGTTTTTTCCTTCTCCTCTGGATCATCTGACTTCCCCATTTCTGTTTTCCTTCCTATTTAAGATGTTGGAAAGAATATGAAGTTGCTGGCCTGAGGTTTCTGTAATAAGCAGTACAGATGATCGGAGAATCGGGCAGTCGGGTTTTTGTAGAACCTCAGGGACTCGTTTTCAGGATGGCATTTGTTCTTGAGCTGCACATGAAACCAGCTTTGCAGTGACAAGCCCTCGAGAAAAGGGGCGATGGCTGCTTTCCATTGTGGAGTGGACAGGTCCTCGTGGGCCACTTACCTGGGAGGCTGACACGCACAGGCCGTCTGCTCGGCAGGGGTGAGGAAGCTCACCCCGCATCTCCATCTTCCCCCTCCTCTGTGTCTTGCAGACAAACAGAAACGACAAGGCCCAGGAGTTCTTTGCAAAGCAGGCCACGGAGCTCCAGAACCAGGCCGAGTGGAAGGATTGGTTTGTCCTGCCCTTCCTGCCGTCGCCGGACACCAACCCCACCTTTGCTACCTACTTCTCCCGACAGTGGGCGGACACCTTCATCGTGTCCCTGCACAACTTCCTGAGTGTCCTGTTTGAGTGCATGCATATCCTTCCTGTTGCCTGCGGCCGTGGGCCCGGTCTGGGGCTCCCAGACGCCGTGACCAGTAGCCGCTGCCCCCGACGCAGCCGTTCCCTCTACAGACTGCCCAAGGATCCTTGTCATGTGAGGGGGCTGGACGACTTGTGGTTGTTTTTGTCAGGAGGCCAGGGATTGCAGATCTTGGCCCTGCTGAGCTGCTGTAGTAATCGCTGACATGCTTGGGCGGAGGCAGCTGTGTGAGCAGGCCCAGGGGTGGGAAGTCGGCTGACGGTCCAGCCTTGAACACCCTCTGCACGACTGTCCCCAGGGATATCAGTTGTTGTGGCTGGGATTAGGTAGCAGATGGGAACGCGTTTGGGTTTTCCTGTGTTGACTGTTTGTCAACTTGCCAGAAAGCAGGTTAGCCTTAAAAATACCTAAGTGGGCATCTGCAAGAAGGCCTGTATGTAGTACACAGCCTACCGACTGTGCCATTAGTGTCGAGGAAAGCAGGAGATCCCAAGGCCCGAGGCAGGCGCCATTGTTCCTGCTCTCTGGGCTGGAAACCCAGGGAAGGCGAAGGGAGTCTGCTTTGAATGAGGCCGCCTGGCGGGACGTGGCTGAGATCTGAGCTTGCCGACGGTGGCTGTCCTGGGCTCCCGGAGCACTGTCTGGTGGCGGCGGAAAGGGTGCTTCTCCTGCCTCTGCCCTCGCTGCTTGTGCTGTGTGCATTCCACCCTCCCCGCCACTGCCTCCTAAGCCCGAGGCTTTCAAGTGGCACCAGCAGGGTGGCTACACTGGCCTGGTGACCCTGGGAGCTGGGCCCTCGGGGGCAATTGAAAGGACTACTCCGGAGCTTCTCGGGACCCTGCACGGGAGGTCACGCACGGGGGAGCCACGGTTCACTTCCCCAGGGATGAGGCCCAGTCGGCTCTGTGCTCCCACTGCAGCTCTCTGGGGCTGCCCCGAGCTAGAAGGCAGATAGCAATGGCGTGGCGTGTGGTCCCAGTCCGTGGGAAACTCTGTTTCAAGCTTGCCAGAAAAAGGCCAGTCTGGGGACACACAGGCTATGTGGCTGAACCTTCTTCCCGCCTGGCGGAGTGCTTGCAAAGCCCCTGGCCTTCCAGGGCTACTCAGCTGAGTGTGCACCTGACCTCGCCGAAGCTCTGTGCGTACTGGCCCAGTAGTCCCAGGGTTGGAGGGACAATGCACAGCTTTGGATTTGTCTTTTTCTGTGGGCTTGAGTCAGTGAGCCTGTCCCAACGAAATCGGGCCCATCTATTGTGACAGACCCAGGGACGAGAGGCTGACAAAGCGGGGAGGCACCCCCCGCACCCACCCTGTCCTCCGGTCCCGGTGTCTCGGGTCCAGGTGTTTTTACTGCTGTGTCAGCCTGGGAGGGATGTTGGGACACTGCACAGACAGGCTTACTCTTTAACCTCATGCACCGGTCCCCGTGATCCTGAACTTTGATGCGGAGTGCCAGAGAACCAACCAGGTTCAGGAAGAAAATGAAGTTCTACGCCAGAAGGTTTGTTTGGCACGTGCTCGCTCCGTGGCGTGTGTGTGTGCAGTGTGTGTAGCTGGGTAGTGGCAGAGGAACGCTGACTACAGGGAAGTCATGTCTGGAATTGGGGGTTAAACTGCCTCAAACTAGAGAAGACCCATCCTCTAGATCATGTGTAGAGCATAAATAATAATGGACAGTAGTGAGCCATAATCGGGAGACGATTCATTCACTCCACTTCCCAGCTCGCCTGTCCTCATCCGTCTCTCTCCATTCTTCCACGTAGAATCCCATGGCTGCTGTTGATGGCCCAGACACAGCTGTGTCGCTCCCCCTCTTCACGGAGGAACGACACAGGACCCTGCGCTGTTCTTTTGTCTGCTCGGCCCTTCCCGGGTTTGCTGCTGGTCCTTCCCGGGTTGGCTGCCGATCCTTCCACCTCCGTGGAAGGGCGGCTCCCCCTGCCACTTTCCCCACTTCCGCGGGGGAGCGGCACACCGCCGGCCGGCTCTCTCGGGGGCTGCTCAGATGTTATCTGGATGTTCCTGGTGCATGTTGTCTCTCTCCTCCTTTATAGTCCTCTTCCACCAATCCCAACTCTGCTACCCACACGCCGAGTACGCTGCTCTCCTCCAATCAGGAGCAGGATCAGCTCCTGCAGGTTATTGGTCGAACTGGAGGCAGCTGTGTAAAAGTTGTTTACTCCTCTCCCAATGCCATATTGTGGGAGAGCAGATGCATAGAATAAGTCTTAATTCCAGTAACTTAGTCTAGTCCGAGTTGCTCCGCACAGTTCCCCCTTTCTTTTTATTTTTTGGCATGGATACGCGCCTGCTTTCAGTGCCCCGCAGCACACACTCTGCTCTGCTTGCTGGAGTTGCCCACAGGTGCTTACAAGCCCTACCAATCAGGCAAACCGAATCCGGGTCCTCTCTTCGCCATGTTGTGAGGAGGTTTTTAGGCGCTGATGCGTGCCTGTGTTCGGTGCCCTGCAGTGCATGCTCTGCTCGAGCTGCCTGCAAGTGCTTATCGCCTTACTAATCAGGCAGACCGAATCCAAGCCCTCTCATTGCCGTATTGTGGGGAGACTTATTGGTGTTGATAACGTGCCTGTCTTCGGTGACCTGCAGCGGATAGTCTGCTAGCTGCCCGCAGGTGCTTATCGTCTTACTAATCAGGCAGACCGAATCCAAGCCTTCTCATTGCCGTGTTGTGGGGAGGCCTTATTTTTCTCTATTTCTCTATCTCCGGGCATTCCTATTTCTCCTATTTTACTTCTATCTGCCAGCATTCCTAGTTCTCTCATTTTACTTCTATACTTCTGTTTCTCTTATCCCCGCGGCTTCCCGGCGCCTGCCCCATGGCGGCTTCCCGGCTCTGCGCGGCTTCAACCCGCGCTTCTCTCATCTGCGCAGCTTCCCGGCTTCACGCGCGCTCCGCGGTCTTCGTGCCCGCACCACGGCCTCTGCGCCAGCCCCGCGCTCCCTATCTACTCGCGCCCCATGCGCTCTCTCCGCTTGTGCCCTGCGTGCTTTCTCTGCACTCAGCGGCTTCTGCGAATCACAGCCTAGTTCACGTTTCCGCCATCGGTTGGTTTAGTTTTCAGTCTAAGTTCCCCGGGCTAACCTGACGAAATCCAACCTAGCTTACGTCTCCGCTTTTCGGTTTGGCTTCCCGTCTTTTGCTCCCCGGGCTAATCTGACGGATTCCAACCTAGCTTACATCTCCGCTCCCGGTTTGGCTTCCCGTCCAACCTAGTTTACGTCTCCACTTTTCGGTTTGGCTTCTCGTCTTTTGCTCCCCGGGCTAACTTGACGAATTCCAACCTAGCTTACGTCTCCGCTTCTGGTTTTAGTTTTTCGCCTTTTGCTCCCCGGGCTGACTTGACGAATCCCAACCTAGCTTACGTCTCCGCTTCGGCCTGCCCCCGCGGCTTCATTTTCCCTAACATATTTTTTTCTACCCGGTATATTTTCTAACTTTCTTCCAACAATATTTCTCCCTCATTTCTCCTGGCTTCTCCCCACAGTCTGTATCCGAGTCTAAGTTTTTTCTAGCTTTCACTTTCACTTTCAACCTGCAGTCCGTATCCGAGTCTAAGTTTCTTCTAGCTTTCACTTTCATTTTCAACCCTAGATTTCTTCTGGCACTTTTTCCGTCCGGCTTTTCCCTAGGCTCTTTGCTAGTCTCTCTCTTCGGTGTTTTCCCGCTTCTTCACGCTTCTTCCCTCCTAGGCTTCCTATCCGAGTCATGGCACCATTATGTCGCTCCCCCTCTTCGTGGAGGAACGACACTGGACCCTGTGCTGTTCTTTCGTCTGCTCGGCCCTTCCCGGGTTTGCTGCTGGTTCTTCCCGGGTTGGCTGCCAACCCTTCCACCTCCGTGGAAAGGAGGCACCCCCACGGAGTTCATTGAAGTGCCACCACGAAAAAGGGAAGCGACAAGTAACTTTGATCCGCCACAAAGGTGACCAAGCACTTGCTGTTAATAAACTAAGGTGGGGACTGGGAGAGTTGGTAGATCGGAAATGCGATGGAGATACGAAAGTCGCTCCTTGGGAAGGTTATAACTAGGGGATTAAAAATTTAAAATTAAAGAAACATATTAAAAA